ATATATATTATTTTTAGATTTTACCTCTATATCTCTTTATCTCTATATAGCTTATTGAGCATAGTAAAAAAATAATAACACTTTAGAATTCTTGTCTACTAATGCCAACATCTAGGTCCTCTTGGGGTTGTCTTATTTCCTTTTAAGAATGAATTATTCTATTCATTTTTTGTTGAAGAATTTTGTATTTTATCCTGAGCCTTGTGGATATTATTTTGTGGAGAATGTGGATTCTGTTGTTGGTAGGCACTTAACTTTGTTGGAGTCAAACTACAAACTCTATCTCTTGGGCAGCAGTTCATTTGTCTTTTGTCTTGGCTGGTCTATTCATAATTTGCCTTGTGTATGTGTGGTTTCAGGGCCAAAGATTTGAAGAGACTTTATATACAGAATTTGAGACCACCTCTCTCTGGCTCTCTCTTTCTAGTATTCCCTTATTTCCCAGAAGCTGTGGTTGCCCTGAACCCTGTCTTCTGGACAGGACTGCTAGTTTTGGGATTTTAGCTGTCACTCACACCCCATGCCATTGTTGACTTTCAAGTTGAACTCTTTCCTTTGCCTCACAATCTACTTATGTTCATTCTCCCAAGCCTCAAAGTGGTTGTTTTTTTATATTTTGTTCAGATTTTATCATTACTAACTGTAGAAAGGTTAGTTTTTTTAGAAGTTTACTCAACCATACTATAAACGGAACTCCAGAACTCCTGTTTTTAATAATTTCTCTACATTGCTTCCCTAAAGCAGAGTTTTAAATAAATAAACTTATTTACATTTCATCTAATTTCTTATTTACAACAGTATATTTGGTGGATAATAGGAAGGACTCAGAGTAGAGAGTGTTTCTTCTTGAAGTCCTCTTTTGCTTTGACTTTTGCAACACTACTGTTTTGTGATTCTCAGCTTTTAATTCCTAAGTAAATCTTCCTGAGTTTCCTTTTATTTCTCTTTATTTCTAGTTCTTCTTTAACACTGACTTCAACCTGACCTGTTATTTTTTTCTCTATTCCTACTTAGGCTGGCCAGTTTTAACAATATACTTGATTTCAATCACCACAGAAATGCAGATGGCTCTTACACCAAGATTTTCAGACTGCACCTCTCTCCTGAGTTTCAGATCAATCACCACTGTTAGAAGTGAATGTCCAGCTCACATTATGGATTCTTCATTTCTTTCTATGCCCTAACTTTTTCTTCTCTTCCTCTCATTTATTCATTAAATCAACAAATATTTATTGAATGTCAAATACATGCCAGCTACTGCTTTCAATGCTACAGATTTAGTATAGTATTGGGGCAAAAAATTAGAACTCTCCACCTTTCTGGATTTAAATTTTAATGAGAGAGAGAGACAGAGACAGAGACAGACAGACTATAAACTAATATATAACTAAATAGTATCAAGTAGGAATAAGTGCTATGAAGAAAAGCACGTTAAGGAGATAAAGACTTGTGGATTGCTATTCATGATAGAAGTACCTCTGAGGTGTTGACAAGAAATATGATGGAAGCATTTCCCTTGTATTCATTTCTTGGTGAATCTCTTGGAGCCACTCTGCCAAATTATCTAGTCAAGAAACCAGACTGTAATTTTAAATTGAGATAGACTGTTCTCTTAAATTCCATCTGCTTTCTCATTTATCACATATTAACATTTTTCAGCTCCAAGTTTCCATCCCTACTGGTAATATCTAAGCCCTTTTCCTTCCTTTGAATTGCAATAGTCTATTTCAAGATATCTTATTTTCTAGGTTTATGCTCCTCCACTCTGGAACTAGAGTGGCCTTCATTAAACTGAAAACAGGTCATGTTACCATTTTAAAATTAGTCATTAGCTCTACAATCTACTGCATAAAGTTTCTAATGTTATTAAAGTCTTCAAAGATCTAACCTTAGTCTACATTTCTTCTTATTGCTCACTATCCCATCTACCTCACTGCTTATTTTTTATTTATAAGTTATTCTTCCAAAAATGTGCTAACTATTTCATATTTCTGTTTTCTATCAACTTGTTACCTCTCTTGGAAATGTCCCATCACCAACCACTAGAAAAACTTAGGATTCTACATTCTGTTTTCAGGTGATGTTCATGCTGCTGATCCGTTACCCTACCATGAGTAGCAAGGGCATATATGACTCTAAGATGTCCTTTACTTGTTGAACTCAAATTATAAAATATTAGTTTCATACCACAAAATCTTTTCCTATGTCTCCAGCCTTATCTGTCACACTCTTCCTTCTTTATGTTTCTATCTAATTTGAATAATTGCAATTCCCAAAAGACAGTATTGCCTTATATTCCTGTTTCCCCAACTTGATTTTAAGTTCTCTGAAAAAAATTCAGTTTGATACCTTTTTGAATGTATAGTTAATAACATCATGCCTTTGCACAAAGTAGATGTTAAAGCAATGTATAAGTAATGAAAGAATTCATACCGCAAAGCAAAAAGATCCAAATGAGAAGCTAATTTAAGAGAACAAAATTATCATTTCTTATTTCTCCATGAGCATTGTGCTTAGTTTTCACTTCTTATAGTTTTTTATCCATCCCTTCAACAATATATTACTTTCCTTTGTCTCATCATCTATAGTCCTTCACCACTTAATCTGTATCCAATGAATTTTTACATCTAATTTCTGAATTTCTCCTATATTAATATACTGGTTTCATAAATGCAAGGTGCTCTGGTGTTGTAGTGTGTAAGGCATTTGGCTGCTAACCAGAAGGTCAGCAGTTCAAAGTCACCAGCTGCTCCTTGGGAGGAAGATAAAGCAATTTAGTTCCTTAAAAATTTACAGCCTTGGAAACCCAAAGCGGGTTGCTATGAGTTAGAATTGACTCAATGGCAGTGGGTTTGTTTTTTGGTTTTGGTTCATAAATAGATAATACTCATCTTTTAAAATTGCATACCAAAAATTTAAACTTTTCTAACATTATATTTTGAGGTAAGAAAATGATTATTTTATTTCTAAAAACAAGGATTTATTAAATACCTAACTACTAACAATTTTAAGCCTGAAATAAGAACTTAAAAAAAATTTAATTGAAGACACTCTTACTTTTCCCTTTTTTCTCCAATGTTAAATATGATGCTTGGACTTTGCATGTATCTTTAGACAATATACACTTAGCAGGCATACAAATATTTTATTATTTATTTTATTTTCTTATAAATTAACAATCTAGAAAAATTGAAATAGAAACACTAAATACAGTATTGCACATAGCGATCTTTGTTAAATGCCCTATTATTTCATCAAAGAATGGTAATATATACATAGTGGAGGGATTGGAGGGGACAGGAAGACTAGAAAACAACAACAGCAAAAAACTACTGTTTCTTTGCACTAAACAACAAACTAAAAAGTAAGCAACCATACTTTACAGAAATAAACATGTTATGACTCAGAACATTTTTTTTAAGTAGCTTCCCACAGTTGGTTTACAAAAGCAAAAATTTCTCCCTTTAACCACAACCATAACTTTCAACAAATATCATTAAAAGGAATTTTAAAGAAATCTAACAATGCTAGACAAAACCATCACAATGCATCATGAGGTGACTAAAGTACTCTTAGAAAGATGGAAGATTTACTTTTTTTTTCCCCCAAAGTAAAATAAAAGCCTTTCCTTGGTTCCTTCAGATAATAAATCATTAACATCTTTCTTTCTCAGCTTTTAATCACCTGCCATAACACATAAAGAGCAAGGGTATTTCCTGTCCTTCCTCTGTCCAACTCCAATCATGTCAAAATACTCAGGCAGCTATATTTAATTTATATGTTTCATATAGATGTCCATTCATCCAAAAACTATATATATTTTTTGCCAATAATTACTAATGTTTGTAAATTTTATGAGCATGATTTATTTAAATTCCTCCACAATATTGAGGCAAGTTTCCTTTGTGAAGGGTAATGGTAAAAGTTGTAGTTAGGCATACTGTCAATTTATTTTACTTTTAATGCAAATTAGCTTTCTATGTGGTCAAAACAAGTGCTCTGGTGGTGTCAAAAAGGGCATATTGTGATAAGGACCCTAATTAAACTTAAAACTCTGATTCTTGCCTATATTAAATAAATTATTAGGAAAGAGTTTTCCTTTTGTTATGCTTTTTTTCCTATTAATTATCTAACTCAAGTAAAAGAGACTACGATAAACTTTCAGAAATATTTGTTTATGGGGAACAACCAAAGAATGGGACAGTGTTGATTATGTTATAGAAATGGTACTTAAATTTTAAAATAGAAAATTTATATGTAGACATGAAACTGATACAAACAATTCACCAGAAATAACATTTCACCATAAACCTAAATGCAGTGATGTGGAGGACTGGCTGTCAGTAGAAAGGAAAGTGTTTTGCTTTGACAAGGAATATTCTCACAACAGTAAATTTTAGTTTAATGTTTAGCATGTTCAGAATCAATGCAGATACTGCCTCTTATACATGCTGTTTTGGTCTATCAGTATAATACCATATACTTTTACAAAAAGAAAAGGTCAAAATTCTCCACTGGTCTACTGCTTTTGCATTTTATATGAATGTATAGTATAGTAAAATCAGTGAACTGTCTAGAAGCACAAAGATTATGCAAGAGGTCAAGAAGAAAAATGATCAGAACGAAGTAGTTTCCTTCCCGCCCTCAGGTCAGCTGATTTTGGTGGAAGTAGTTAAATGACTAGTTTTCATTCTGCTTTTCAATGTTCAGGTTTTCATGCTTATCTTTGCTTTCTGAAAATAAACACAGCACATAAGAGTTATAGTTAGAAAGCAGAACTTTTAAAAATGTATGGAGTTTAGCGAAGCCCAGACAAGTCTTTTTTTGTTTGGATCAAATTCTCTGGGAATAGGTTCTACAGATCTACCACATAAAGAGAAAATATGCATATATATATATATATATATATATATATATATATATATATTCTGCACACAGAATCTACTTTACCTTTTAGTACTTTCACCAAGATGATCTATCAATATTTTATGGGAAAACAGTATTTTAAGATGTAACTTCCAGCTCACAAGAAAGAACGTCAACTCACCCTTATTCTCAGACATAAGTATATGGTGGTGGTGTTTGGTGCCGTTGAGTCGACTCCAATTCCTAGTCACCCTATGGGACAGAGTAGAACTGCCTCACAGGATTTCCTAGGCTGTAATATTTATGGGAGCAGATCTCCAAACCTTTTCTCTCATGGAGCCGCTAGTGGGTTCCAACTGCTGACTTTTCAGTCAAGAGCTTAAGCCCTGTACCACCAGGTCTCTTTATACATAAATATAAAAATTAAATTGGCTGCTTCACTTCATAGTGAATATGACATAATTCTCTTCTATCCTTATAGTAGCATGATTGACACTGACTAATAATTATTTCTTCTTATTCAATATACTTCAGCATTACACTTCAATCAAAAAAGAGTAGAAAATAAATTAAAATATAAATATTTACCACTTGATAAAATTTAGTTTGATGTAGAGAAACTTAAGGGAAAATGGCTTTTAAGTGAAGAAGTAATTCTTAACCTTTTCTAAATAGGCCTGTTTAATCATATTCTAATTGGATTACCTTAGTATCTTTTCCATTTAGACTATTAAAATTCAAAATACTCCCATTTTATGGCCTAACCCAATTTTTCATTTAAAATAGCATCATTTGCTTACACTGTGGCACCCAGTGATAATCCATGCAAAACATTAAGCAAAATTATCCAGGGGAAAAAAACAGTCATATCAGCCAAACCCTTCCCTCTCAGGAAGACTTGGCTGCTTGTTTTAAAGGAAGAGGTGGGCAAGGATGAAACTTAGGTTAGCTTGTTAAACTCAGGCTGATAGCTATTAAGCAGTCAAGTTATAGAGCCATTTATGGTTATGAACCAACTCTGGGCTAGCTGGACAATACCACACTTTGCATTCCCCTCAAGTTTCAGATCTCAGTAGAGCTAATTCAATTATAATGTCCACTCTAGGTTCAAATGTTTCTTGTTCTATGATCCATGATCCATGGAGAAACTGAAAAATGCCTCCTACTGCAATGTACACATGCACACATGCATGTACATCTTCAGATTTATCGTAATTATTAAGTTATGACTACTGAATATTTGAGATTCTCTTGGCCATCTGGGCCTGATTTAAGGTATAAGGAAAAGGAGGCTTTTACATCAGTAGCTCATTATTCATTCAAAAATAATAGGCAAATAATTAAAATGTTATTTTAAGAATTTGTATATATTCTGAAAACTATTTCAAAGCAAAAATAAAAAATTGCAAATTAAGAAAAAGCAAAATTAAATACTTACAATTCCAGAGTCATGCCTTGGCTTTATTTTATAAAGTGATTTTCCTTTTTTCTGCCTACACACCTCTTCAGCTTCTTTTACTCTGAAGGGGGAGAAAACACATGTATTTAAACACAAAAACCAAGAGAGATCACTGTTATCTGCCTCATAGTAGGTAAGCAGGTCTCATTGGATTATTGGAGAAAATACTGCTAAATACAAAGGAATGTTATCTGAAAATTGATTTAAAATCATAAAACAATGTTAAAGCTGGAGATTATTTCATCTTGTGGCTCTTAATTTGGAATGAAAGGATGTTGAAGTGAAATAGTACACAAATATGGATTTTTGTGCAGAGAGTATATACATTTCACCCTATTCTTAAAGAGTCTTATATATAAAAGGTAAAGAAATATCCCACATTTTCAGGTCAGGGTACTGAGATGGGCACTACTACATAAATCAGAAGCATTAAAATAATTAAGTAATAGTATACAAAAATTCATATTTATTTAAAATTATTTCAGATTCACCTTCTACACTATACTTACTTACACATGAAAGTCAGTTACCACAATACATAGACATTTTTTAAAAAATTGAGCTTTATCAAGCATGGCTATCAATCATTATTTAATTGATGAGAGAAAATAAAAACTGAGTAATATAACAACATTTAAAAACTTTTAGGATTGCTGCTAAAACCAAGGCTTTGAACCAGCTTGAACCAGTTCCATCATGGCTAACAAAGTGAAATTGGAACAGACTTGAATTTGCAAAACGTGGGTATGATGGAATGATAACCGGAACAGGAAAAAATATGGGTCAAAACCCTGGAATAGGAGACTTGGAAGAGGCTTAGAATAGCATAATGCCCAAGGCACTTGACTGCTAACCAGAAGGCTGGCTGTTCAAACCCACCAGCCACTCCTGGAAGGAAGGTTGGGCAATCTACTTCTGTAGTGATACCGCCTCGGAAATGCCAGGAGGGGCCGCTATGAGTTGGGTCCGACTTGACTGCACATAACAACAACAGCAACAACAACAATACAAGAGATTAGATTATTGCAGGGACTGTAGAGGACAGTACATATTCAAAGTGGCTGCCATCTTTGAGCTGGGCACTGCTGTTTCCGAGTCTGTCAGTCAATAGATTTGTTTACTATTCAACATACATGCTGCCCTTGTTTTCTAGGAGGGAGATTAAGTTTCTATCAGGTTGTCAACCTGTAATTTTTCCTGTTCTGGTTATCATTCCAGTGCATCCACATTTTACAAATTATAGTCTGTTCTGATTTTGCTTTGTCAACCATGACTAAATTGAGAACTAGTTCCAAGCTCTGTTTTAAACACATACTCCAGGGAAAATAGTATTGAATTTACCAGAGGTCTAGGAGCTCTGGTGGTTAAAGTATTGTTGTTGTTGTTGTTATGTGCCGTCGAGTCAGACCCGACTCCTAGCGACCCTTGCTTGGGTTTCCGAGGCAGTATCACTATGGAAGTAGATTGCCCCATCTTCCTTCCGAGGAGTGGCTGGTGGGTTTGAACCACCAACCTTCTGGTTAGCAGTCAAGTGCCTTAGGCACTAGGATACCAGAGCTCCTTCAAAATTACAGCCTTGGAAATCTAATGGGGGCAGTTCTACTCTGTCTTACAGGGTCCTCTTAAAACAGAACTGATTCAGAGGCAGTGGGTAGAGTGAAAAGAGAATGTTCTTTGGAAATAAATCTTGTATTAATTCTGGCTCTGCTGCTTCATATTGGATAATGTTCTAACAACACTGCACCTCAGGATTTCCTCTAACCATAAAAGAGCTCAATAATATGTAGAAGTATTACTCTTATTACTACATAGAGTTTTTGCAAAGATCAATTAACTTTTTAAGTTTTTCGTAAGTGGTAAAATACTATAAAAAGTAATGATTGTTTTCATTAAATAAATAATAAAAAATCTGTAAACTGGGATTCCATTAATAAAAACGGGTGTTACAAGACGGAAAATAACCTAACAGATTGATTTATTTTTATTATTGTGATTTTCTGTGGGAATTAAAAGTGAAGTATTTCTGGGGAAACTAAAAAGTTGTGACTTGGTATTAATATAAAACCTTCTATCTAGATCTAGAAGCCTAATTACTTGAAGGGAATTAGTGTACATATATTTCTTGAAGTCTGTGGTAAAAGATCTAATTATAGAATTCATCTCATAAGCAATTGAATGAACAAACAATTCTGTATAACAGCTGCAAGAGTGATGATATAGTTTACATTAAAATATGACAAACGAAAATAATGCCTTTTGGATATAAAATGTCTGCTGGAGTTTATTTTGTAATGTTCTAATTCCAAAAAATGACAATTTAGGAGATATTCCATGTTATTAAGAAGCCCTTGTGGTGCAGTGGTTAAGCACTCAGTAGCTAACCAAAAGGTCAGCAGTTTGAACCCACCAGCTGTTCCACAGGAGAAAAATGCAGCAATCCGCTTCCATAATAATCTAAAGTCTTGGAAACTATGGGGCAGTCCTACTCTGTCCTATAGGATCGCTATGAGTTGGAATCAACTTGACAGCAACAAGTTTTGTTTGGTTTTGTTTCCCATTGTTACTCTATTTATTACACTCTACTCGAGCCATAAATTGCCTTTGATTCTTCCTCTAAACATTTGAAGACGAAAACATTTTCTTTATAACAAGTTCATGATTGTAGAGTCCACATTTCCCTTTGAAATAACTACCAGTAAATTTAAGTTGAAGTATTTGGACAGGGAATTAAGGAAACTCTTTTTTTCAGCACTTAGCTACAATCCAGTAGATCCCCTCTTAAATTTTCTTTGAGCTCTTTAAAGCATTTTATGACATTTAAAAATGTACTACACATGTACTTAGATCACCAAAGTATCTTAGTGTTCTCACAATCCTATTTATTTTCTTCTCAAAACACATTTCTGTAAGGATCACAGGAAGCTGAAGCTAATACAAACATATTTAATTTTACACAAAAACAAGTCCAGTCATTGTTTAGGGCAGACACAATGAAAACTGAGGTCAAATTGTTTTAATCAAACTCACAAGATCTTGTGGTTTATCCATTTATTTGACAATAATTTATGAGCAATAACTCTAAGTCAGGCACTGTGCTGGGCTCACTTTTATAAGAACAACTAAATTCAGTGCCTAATAGGAGTAATACACACATAGCCAAGTAAATTACAAGGGTACATTAAGTGCAACCACCTAGGTTTGTACAAGGTACAGCTATGACTAAGAGGTTCCTGAAGTTGGGTTGGAGGGTTGGGGCTATGGAAAACTTCCTGGAATAAGTTGACAGTTGGTTCTTGTTTAAAAGATAAATATGAATTTTTCACACTTTTTTTGGGGGCTGAATGGGATTGAGGGTGAAAGAAATATAGTACTACACATAAAATAATGCAAAGGCTGAGCAATAGTCAAGGAACACCACAAAATACTTTAAAAGAACCAAAATGGTTGCTATGTCCACTGATGTATGACAACCCTATGAGAGCAGAGTAGAACTGTGCTCCATAGGGTTTTCAAGGCTGTGACTTTTCAGAAGATCATCAGACTTTCCTTCTGAAGTGTCTCTTGATAGGTTTGATCCACCAATCTTTCAGTTAGTAACCAGGCACTTAACTGTTTGTACCACCTAGTCACTCCCATAGTATATTTAGAGAGCTATGCACTGTTCTATCTCCCATTGCCATAGGAAAAACAGAGGTCAAAATTCACAGTGGCGTTTTGGTTTATGCTTCAGTTTCCTGCATAGTGCCTAAGGCATTTGACTGCTAACCAGAAGGCTAATGTTAACCCACTAGCCACTCCTCGGAAGGATGGTTGGGCAATCTACCGTAGTGATACCAGCTCGGAAACCCAAGGAGGGGTCGCTATGAGTCCAATTTGACTTGATGGCAGTGCATTCAGTTTCTTATGTGTATAATTAAGCCAAGTCAGTAATCTAATGCACAAATAAATAACTTGGGAAACTGTAAAATGGAGCCCTAGACCCTTTGGCAGTTGCTCTTCAAATTTAGGAGCATAATAATCACGGAGAATTTGTTAAAATGCAGCTTTTCTGGGCCCACACAGGTAGCCCATGAGCACTCTTTGAGAAATTGTCCTAGAACCTGAAGATCCCCTCACAGCATCAACAGCCCCTGCAGTTCTGACCAGGCAGCCTTACTGACACTTAGACAACAATGGCCCCTCCTTCCTTTCCATTCTGTAAACACTGGGATCACAAACCCAAGCCCTATAGACTTTCTTACTTCAGTGATTTGTAAGCCCACTTCTCCTTAGGTCTCCAGAAAATGTTGCTCCTTCAAAATGCCAATTTTATTTCAATGAAACTCTAAAACAAGAAATTTTTCCCACACTTTAGGCAAGAAAAAGCGTGTATCCCTGGAAGTCAGATATGCTGCCAGAGTTGGCAGAAACAAGAAAAATAATGAGGGAGAAGCTGGGTTGGAGAGGGCCTATGCTAATGGTCCACATTAGTGTCTTCCTTCCTGGGCTCTCAGTTTGGGCTGTCATGGCAGATTTCATCAGCTACAATTTTAGGCATATTGAGGAACTACTTGTAAGTTTTCTACTTTTTTTTTTCTCATTTCTCACCCTTCATTCAATGTTGTCATAAATTTCATAAACTAAGTAGGAAAAAGATGTTCATTTCACAATGAGACTTCAAAGACTTTAAATGAAAAGGGATGGTGGAGATAACATTTCAAACCATAAATAAAAATGATCAGTAGGTTCTGTTTGGGAAAGACAAAGGAAGTGAAAAGAGAGATAACAGTTCATTTGTAAGGAGAGAAAGCAGTCATCATGAAGACAGAAAAGTATACTGACAGAGGAAACCCTGGCTGGACTGAAGAAAAGTCGACAGGCTTCCAAATTTTTCCCGCCCATGGGTTTAAATAATAATAATAATAATGTGGGTGGAATCTATGGATGTTGTACAAAGACATAACTCTTCTGCATGATTCATGAAAAGATATTCTTTTAATGTGCTTGAATTCACACAAAAGAGATGTCCAGGAACTTTGTTAATCAAGATTTGACCTTACTGGAGGACTAAAAAGGGAAATA